AATGCGGGGTCAAAGAAAGTTCACACACGGGGAAAAAGTGTACAACATAACATAAGTTTGATGAAATTTCTGCTACAGACCAAATAAAAGAGTTACTGCTGCCCATTTTATCGAAGACTTACAAATAGAAGAAAGCGCACCAAATAAGAAAGAAATAGCTCTGGCCATCAAGCAGCTCAAAATAGGGAAAGCACCGGTACCGGATAACATCACAGCAGAGATGATGAGAGCTGATATAGATACAATGGTCAATACGCAGCACCCTCTGTTTGAAAAGATATGGGAAGAAGAGACAGTTCCAAAAGATTGAAAAGAAGCATACCTCATCAAGATACCAAAGAAAGGGGATCTCAGCTATTGTGCAAATTACAGAGGAATCACACCGCTGTCTGTACCAGGAAAGGTCTTTAACAGAAGTATTTTGAAAAGAATGAAAGACCAGGTCGACATGCAGCTACGAGAGAAACAGGCTGGCTTCCGCCAAAACCGATCATGCACAGATCAAATTGCAAAGCTGAGAATCATGGTAGAACAGTCAATCGAATGGAATTCCCACATATATATAAATTCTATAAACTACGAAAAGGCCTTTTATAGCCTGGACCGACAAACATTGTGGAAACTTCTTCGGCACCATAGATTACCAGGGAAACTAGTCAGGATCATTCAGAGCTCTTATGAAAGAAATGACATGCAGGGTGGTCCATGAAGGTAGAATCACAGATTCCTTTAAAGTCGAAACAGGAGTCAGACAAGGATGCCTCTTGTCCCCATTTCTATTCATCCTTGCCATTGACTAGATAGTGAAAAAATCCACAGACAAAAAGAGGAATGGGATACAGTGGACACTCTGAATGATTTAGACTTTACAGATGACATTACACTTCTGTCCCACAACCAGCAACAAATGCAGGAAAAGACAAAAGACGTGGCCTCCATTTCAGCACAGCTTGGACTAAATATAAATAAAAGCAAAACAAAAATGAGGAAGGTAAACTCATCCAACAAAGATCATATTTTGTCTGGCAGGAAAGGCACTGAAAGAAGTGGAGTCCTTCAATTACTTAGGCAGCGCTATAGACACAAATGGCGGATCTGGTGCGGACGTAAGGGCCAAAATTGGAAAAGCTAGATCAGTATTTGTGCTATTAAAGAAAATATGGGAGTTGAAGGAGCTGAAACTGCAAACCAAAGTCAGAATCTTTAATACAAATGTCAAAACAGTCCTACTATATGGTACAGAAACTTGGAAAAACAACAGCGAGCCTTATGCAGAAAGTTCCGACATTCACAAACATATGCATTAGAAAGATCCTGAAAATCAAATGGCCAAATACAATCAATAACAAAGATTTACTAGAAAGGACACACCAGGTGCCCATTGATGAAGATATCATAAAGAAAAGGTGGAGATGGATAGGGCATACACTCCGAAAACCCCCAGATAGCACCAACAGACAATGCCTAACATGGAACCCACAGGGAAAAAGAAAGAGAGGAAGGCCTAAGAATATATATGGAGACGCGAGTTAAAGGCAGACAAGCAAAATATGGGATACACCTGGAAGCCATTGGAAAGGAAAGCACAGGACCGGGATGAGTGAAAAGTTCTTGTAGACGGCCTATGCCACAGACGGGGTAGAAAGGCACAATGAATGAAAATAAAAATCAACAAGGAGTTATCTCCTTATTTAGTGAAATAAGTTTGATGAAATGTCTGCTACAGACCAATTAAAAGAGTTACTGCTGCCCATTTTAACCTGACAACTGTCCACAATGAGCTGTCCGAAAGCAAGCGCTGAATTGAAATGCCACGTTTCGGAGACAGCACCTGAAGTTAACAGATATAGCTGTCGATGAAGTCAAAGACTAGCCGATATGTGGCATTTTCAAATTTATACTTAAATAGAACTTGCAATAACGTCTAAGCATCTTCTCTCAGGATCTACGATGACTTCTCCAGGTATGCTTGTGCGTCTGTGGCGCGTTGCGAGAGATGCTTCTAAAAGCTGAAACTTCCACAGAACAAGGTGCTGCCTACAGCTTGGAACATCCATAGCTTTTTAATCTGTCGACTTTATAAATTGAAAGCTGTGCGCTCAAGGATGTTGCTTTTGATCAAGGGATTGACTAGCGCGCAGCTTTAATAAACAGCAAAGGAAATTTTGAACTGTCAAGTTTGATGTTACAATTAAATTTGTTTCCGTTCTTAAAAGATTCTACCTCATTTTTTCCTCCTTAAGTCCTTATAAACTTAAGACCTTAAGACCTTGAATTTACGAACGTACGTAAGATGACCCTTTGTAGTCTGGTGCAGGCGGCGTCGGTCAATAGGAAAGTAGTGCGGGTGTGGTAAGTATATACATTCACCCCGCCGCACTGAGTTTTACACCACCCCGGGTGACGCCGATAATTGGACCGATGTTCGTGTGTGCTCATTATAGCGGGTGGAGAAGTCGTTTATTAAAATAATCTGTCGCTTCATAGAGAGATAATTTACAAAATGGCCAGACCTCTGTCATTAAAAAACAACCACACAAAAAAAAAACAAACAACAGTTTCTGTCGACACAAGAAAAAATTAGATTCAGATGTTAAAAATTGTTCAACTTGATGAAAGAAATTCAATTAGAACTTAATTAAACCCAAGGTCTATGAACCCCCCCCCCCTCCCTTTTTTTTCCGCGGGTCCCAGCTTCCTATTCATTTGTTTTCAAGGTGATATTTACAACCCAGTTAGCGACGCATCATGTCAAAAAGATGTAATTATAAATCACACGTACCTAATTGAAACAAACCAATTATAACCATTTCCAAAAGCTTCTTTTATGAAACAGGTGACTGGATCTCACAACTGTCAATTATGGAGGATGCCAACACAACCTGGGGGGCAGTCGAAAGTACAGACTACTCTTGTACTCCCGGTAACGTTTTGCTGCGTGACCTCGACTCGTTCAGTCAGATCACAGCAGACAGGAACACATTTATTAACAATACAGAGTCTACACAATATAAGCTGTACAATAAGATCACGAACCCCATCAGTGATGACGAGTCTGTTATCAAGCTGTTACTTGAAATCATCATCTCCTGTGTGCTGTGTGGGTTTGCTGGTCTCCCAGGTATCATCACCAATATCATCTGTATCGCGGTGTTTTGGAGGCAAGGTACGTCATCTTTTTTTTTTCCAAATTAATGGATTGATGTGTAAAGAGATCATGATTATATTTACAAAAATTTTAATTTTTTTTTTATTAAATTTAAAAAAAAAGTTTATTAGGTTCTAATATTTAGTAATATTTAGTAGTGCTACCCCCTCCCACATTAGGACCAAGCCATGTGAACGCAGCTTTTGCAAGACTTGCCCTTTTGTCACCCTTTTGTCACCCTTTTGTCACCCTTTTGTCACCCTTTTGTCACCTTTGTGTCACCATTTTGTCCCTTTTGTCACCCTTTTTTCAGTCTTTTATCACCCTTTTTTCACCCTTTTTCACCCTTTTGTCACCCTTGGGTCACCCTATTGTCACCCTTGTGTCACCCTATTGTCACCAGACTCAAAACATTACCTTTCCTAAGATTATTTTTTTTCTCAAATAATGGAAGATATTCTCTGTATGACAACAATGCTATTTACACCATTATTTTTAACTAATGCCACATGACCTACCTTAGCGAAACTGGTCGGCGACTTTCTGACAACGGAACTGAAAATCTTCGCAAAAGTATACAAGCCAAATAATGTCCTATCTCGGCTAACTTCGATAGAAACCATCGTAGTACGCTTCGGACCTCACCATCACGGCTATAGTTTCCTTTACCAATACATCTTCCAGCTAGAACTTGGAGAACAAACTAACCCGCACCTATGAAACCCTGACACCATATTGCATGAATGTCATGTTTTCTTTCACTTGCTGAAAGCACGTCTCCGTCCATAATTGATACAAAAAATCATTGTTTACTAACTTTATTTTCTTCAATCCCTCCCCCCCCACTTATTTGCCTATATTAATTCCATTGCATATTCAGAGTTAACTACCTTCCTCTTGATGTTCTGGTATAGATTTTATTTTTGTTACTCCTTGGACACAGTGGAAAGCATCTTGCAGACACGTTTCTTTCTTTTGTAGCGTCCTATTTTTTCAGGTTTCCCCCCTACTTGTACTTCACAGCTTCTTTTACCTAACTTGAATACAATATCTGTCCCCTCACCCAACCCTTATTAGTGTTTAAATGCCTAACTTCCAGTACCATTCTGTAGTTCGTATTTATTCTCGATATAGAGCTTAAATGCATCTAAGTACCACAAGCGATCGAACTCTGCTTAAGTCAAATCACGCTTTGCAGTAAGCAGAAAATTGAGATAACGGAAGGATATCAGGTTTCTTATTCTTCTATATATTAAGGGCCCACGTTCAATTTACTGATCCTTTTGGCTCCTATGCATGTGCAAGGGATTGCAAATAACTGCAAATACTCCAAGAAAAAACACTACAAAATTTCAAAACTTAATAAAACAAAAGATGCCACAAGCAAAAAAAATCAGCTCTCTCGGATTTTAGGAACCTGGAGAAATATGGGCTCAAAAGCCCAACCATGACACCACCACCTCACCTCAGTTAATTTAAATAAAAAAAGGGGGAGGGGGAGGGGGAGGGGGGGTACAGTTGAAGGAAAAAATACTTGCTGAAAATTATATTCAATTTTTTTCCATCACTTTTTAGGTGTAAGTTAACAGTGGTGTTGGTAAGTGAGAGCGCAATGTGCATTCATTAAACACTTTAAAAGGAAATGCTAGAGATGACTCGCTTCAGGACTATAAACTATGAAACTTATTCATTCTACTTTGTTAAATCAATAACAACAAGACGTCTTTCGTTTGCATGTTTGTTTGTTTTTTATTATTTAGCTACCGACAACCTGTTTTGTAGACGAAAATCACAAACGTAAAGAAAAGAAATACCTGTGACACACTTAAATTGTTTCATTTCCATTTCTCCAGGATTCAAAGACCATGTCAACATAACTCTGCAGGCTCTCGCACTGTCCGACCTCTGCTGCTCTCTGACAATGTTCTGGTCAGCCATAGCGGAGACCGTGTACGTCATCAGGCCACCGCCATTTTTCTTCGAACCTTTCAGCCTCCTTGTGATGACCGGAAGTTTCCCTAGACTCATCTTCACGCGAGTGACCAGCTGGTTGACGGCACTTATCGCCCTCGAGCGCTGTGTCTGCGTGGCACTCCCGTTTAAGGTCAGGGTCATCTTCTCCCCTAGAAATTCCTCACTGATCACTTTCAGCGTCTTCTCCGTCGTCTTCACCAGCCACATGTTCATCTATTACTCAAGGTCATTTCAAATGGTTTACAACCCACGATTCAACATGTCACAGGTTGTCATGGCAACCGTTCAAGAACGAGTTAAAGACAGCTTCTACATCAGCACAACCCTTTTCATCTGTCTGCCGTTGGTCAATTACTTTTTCATTCTATCTTGCACACTGATGATGTTGTGGAGGTTGAAAATATCGACAACATGGCGGACCTCGGCCCAGGCAGGTGTCACGGGCATGAGTAAACCGGAAATGGCTGTCAGAAACCAACAAAACGCCGAGAAACTAATTCAGTCCGATGACGTCATTGCTCGTAAAGTGAACGTCTCTAAGGAAAAGCGTCTCACCAAGATGATAGCAACCACGACTTCCGTTTTCATCGCTTGCAGCACTCCCATTAACGTCGCTCTGGCTGTCACGCTGTTCGTCCCTGGCTTTCAGTCGACGGGAGACAACAGCCTGGCCTACACGACGATGCATATGTTTGGCAACTTGATGGAGACAATCAACTCCAGCGTTGGTTTGTTTGTGTACTACCACCAGAGTTCAAAGTTCAAATCCTGGCTGCTTCAAATGATTCCTATTCATAAAAAAGATGCTCTATAAATGTGTTTGTCTTTTTAAAGTGGTTACATAATGTGAGTCCGTCTGTCTGTCTGCCTTCCTATCTGCCGTCCTGCCTGCCTCCCTAGCTGCCTGCCTATCTGCTTATCTTTCTGCCTGCCTCTCTGCATGTATATCTGCCAATCAGTCCGCCTGCCTCTCTACATGCCTGCCTATCTGCCTGGCTATCTGCTTGCCTGCCTGCATGTGTGTTTCTCTTCTTGTTTTGATTTTAAACTAAGGCTATCTATTACCAACTTATTTACCTTCTGTCAATACTAAACTCTTAAATCTTTTAATATTTTGAAGGATCCTCTTGTGCAGTGGTTCTCAAACTTTCAAATTTGCGGTACCGAAGGAAACGTTTCCCATTGCACAATAGACCACTGCTTAATTTTATAAAAAGTATACTTTTTTTTACTATAAATGGATCATTTTTTTTTAAACCCTTGACAATTGAAAGAACATGTTTAACTGTAACTATTTAATGCTAATTCATGCAGGACGGTGTTAACATTAACCATGAAATACTAACCCTTGTATGACTGTTTTAACTGTAACCATTTAATGCTAACCCCTGTTAGTCGGTTTTTGTTATGATTGTTATAGAATATTTCAATACACATTCATATTCCCTCTACATGCTTCAGTTATAGCCACATGCATGTCAACCGCTATAGAAACAATTCTTTGAAGAAAAAAAACAATTTAAGCCAACTGTGACGATTTAATGTGAAAGGTGGACCTGTTTATTGTTGACAAACAAATACAATCTTGGTGTGACAGTAGACACACCTACACGTAAAGGAGGACACACCTCCATTCTGTCCTTGGTCCTAGTAAGTAGAAAAGTATCTTCAATTTTGTCAGTGAAGAACTTGCTCAGTTTAACTGCAGCCTGCGCGCTTCTCACGTCAAGCAAAGCAACGGGAGCCGATTTCTTCCCAAGAAGGTCATTCCCCTTAGAGAACATTTTGCGAGTGTAAGTACCTGCCGCCTTAATGTGAGATCGAACATGCTCAGACTTGGCGAGCCTGAATTCTTGCGCATGCATGCTCCTCAGCTCGGCCCCCAAACAAGCTCGGCCCCCAAACAAGCTCGGCTTTCCGAACCGTTGGGAGTGAATCAATGGGAGTCGGATATGTCACTAACACATTTATTTGACACTGGGGAAGTTGTATCCAGCAGAGAAATGAGGGTCCGATTGTAGCGGAGGTCCAGGCGTTCAATATCTTTCCGGCACGTGGAACATCCTTTGTTTGGTCTGCTAAATATTTGTTTTGTGATTGTCCGATTACATAGTTAAAAAACAAGTTTGTTTACATTTTTAATGAAGATACCTAGATGTGATATTGTGTTAATTTATGAATATTCAAATTGGTATATACATTTTTTTGTTGTTTTAAATTTAAGATAATGTTTTTTACTATTTTTAGAGAAAAAAAATGGGTTGTCCAAAGGATCGAAAAAGGAGTCTGGTAGACCTAAATTATATAGCAGATAAATATTTCTCAAAACTAAATGAAGTTAGAAACGTAAACATCATTGTTGAGCCTTCTCGTCCATGAGGGACATCCACCGATCATCGTCAGCGTCTGCGGTTCCTCCAAGGGCATAGGCCACCTACGAGAGACCTCCAGGCATCTCTATCCTGGGCCAGCTTCTCCAGGATCTTCCATTCATGGCCAATTTTCTTGATGTCTGTCTCCAATTCTCGGCGCCAAGTGTTTCTTGGACGGCCTCTTTTCCGCTTACCCTGTGGGTTCCATTTCAGGGCTTGCTTTGTTGTGTTAGAAGCAGGTTTTCTTAGTGTATGACCAATCCACCTCCACCGCTTCTGGAGAATCTCTTCCTCAATGGGCTTCTGTTTTGTCCGCTGCCACAGTTCCTGGTTGCTGATTTTGTCTGGCCAGTGAATTCTGAGAATCCTTCTTAGACAGTTGTTGATGAAGGACTGGATTCTGGTCAGGTTTACGGCCGTTGTTCTCCATGTCTCGGCT